TTGTTACTACTAGCGTGGCACTTGTTACTACTAGCGTGGCACTTGTTCCTAGTAGCTTATTGTTACTACTAGTAACACTTCAGACAGTCCTGGCTACATTGTGCAACTCTTCGTATGGAAAGCTCAACTCTTCTCGTGGCACAAAGCGGTTTCATTCCAACTCTTCTCGTGCACTGACCCATTGAGTGTGAGCATTGCATGTTGAAACTCTTCCGACAACCTTGAACGGCAATTTCACATAATTATATGTTCAATTTCTTTCTTCGCTTTGGAAAAAAGGAACTTAAGTGGAGCACAGCAAATAAATGCATTGGACATCCCTTAAAGTAAAAGGCAACTGAAACCGGCTGTCTTTGAACAGCCGAACAAAACTGAAAACCTCAGCTTTTCCCTGTTTGATCCTGAGGCCGATTCTGCAGCTCTGAGATTGAGAAAAACGGAGCTGAGCTTGGCTGAGCTTTGCTGATGTTTTCTTTGCGAAACACTTTTGATTGCGGAATGACCGCAGTTTTCGCTTGCTAACCTTGTCTTTCGTTTGCTGGCTCGTCACTCATCACTCGCTCTTTGTCTTTGTCATGGTCTCTGCTTGCTTTTCATTGCTTTTGCTTGCTTCTGCCGTTCCCTTTGCATTTCCACTAACTAGAACATCATCAACTCATTCAGCATGACACCTTTTACTGAACAGACACTCTCCTTCGGGGGAGGCGCTGCGCCCTCCCCCGGGCTCAACTCGGCATGCCACATGATCTTGAGCAGACACTGTTGTGCAGGCCAGCAATCAGTATTGTGTTGACATTCAATGTTTCCAAAGTGATGCAATTACCAAGCAGTGGAGGCTATCCAACCACAAGAAATCCAGAAAAATAAGGCATAGACATGCAAAACAAGGAACATCAACGCAAAAGAGCAAGCAAAAACACGGAACATTACAGGAAACGGGAATCCCAAAAAAAGAAATGAAACGACAAAAAGAATTCCCAATTAACTTAAAGCCATTTTTTCTGGTCTCTCACAACGTTGTGAGACTTTGAAAGGTATACATCCGAAAAAGGACTCTTCAACGGTGCAAGGCATTCCGTGCGGTTGGTAGGTGATTCTGTTGTCCTTCGCTCCACCTTCCTCTTTCTGGTCTTTACTCATCGGAAATCATTGAAACCGGAAACCAACTTGAAGATTAGTTGAAGAGAGCAGAAGCTTGCTCTTGACACAGCGGGAGTTGATCATTGTTGTTTGCACGACCAAGGCAGCTGCGCACGATTCTCAATAGGGTGTGGCCTGAACAACGTCCGTTTGAAAAGGTGTCGCAGCTGAGTGTTGAGAAGATTTGGAAAAAGTAAGCAAGGAATCTTTTGATTTGTGCTTCTCAAACCACAAGATGCAGACCCCCCATGAGAGCGCCAAAGTTCATGGCAAACCAGCAGTTTGGATCCTACGCTTTTGGAAAAGGCAATGCTTTCAGTCACGCTTTGAGCTAATGATTGAAAGGTAGCAACGTATTGCCTGGCTTAGCACTGGCTTTTCTCGACACCACGAGTTGGTCTCAATGACTCAATGGACATGGTTTTTGTTCAATCATTCGAAAGAAAGGCAAGAAAGATGGTCTTCAAACTGTTGCAAGTCACATTGATTGAATCTGATGCGTGCAGCTTGTTCACTCCTTAGAGTATCCACTTGTTGTCATTATTTTTCCTTACATTAGTGGCCCTGTCATGCTGCTATGAGAGCAAAGCAACGGAAACGAGGCAAGCGATGTCTATATGTGCTGTTCGTATGTTTATGCTTCCATGTGCTTGTTAGAAAGCTGCTGACAAGAAAACCACCTTGACAGGCTGGGTCATTTTGGCTACAGCGTGGCGTGTCTCCAGGCTTGTTGCCCCACCCTTAGTTGACAGTGGATCCAAGTGGAGTTGCAACTTACTTCTTTTTGAGAGCCTGTGGCCAATCGAATTGGGTCCCGCATTTGTGCCTTAAGGTGAGCCCATGCAGATCTTTCTGTTCGCAAAAGCCTAGTCAGCGACACGGTTTGAGACCTTTGCCTGCAGCACCAAACAAGGACCATACAAAGGGAAGAACCGTTGCACCCAACTCACAGACGTCTTGCGTTTTGTGCACGTCAGGCAAACTTACTAGTAGTAACAAGAAGCTACTAGGAACAAGTGCCACGCTAGTAGTAACAGGTGCCTTACTAGTAGTAACAAGAAGCTAGTAGGTTTTGCGCCTTAAAGACGGTCTTTTTGCGAAATCAGCTGTTTCCATCTGGTTCGGTGCAGGACCCACAAGGAATCAAGCCCGAGGAGATGGGCTTGACGTCCAAAATGTGACTTGAAGTGTTCCTTCCGAAATGCGACCCCAAAACATAGCGCCATAAGTCCTATGTTCCCATTCAGCTCTGCTTGGTGACGAACTTTTGCCATGGAATTTGTAACAGACAAGGCCCTGTCAGAGTGCTTTCAAAGCGCCTTGTTTCCAACCCGCAGGAATCGGCAAGAGATGAGGCACATTTGTCAGCCAACTGAATTCCCTTTTTCACGCGACAACTTCACTTTGTTCAATTGTTGCAAGCCGTTGCTTCACGTTTCGTCTTCAAAGCCTAAACCTCTTCTTTCAAACAACTTTGCTTTTGCTTCGAAGATTCCCTGCGACATGTCACACATGTGACGTGATTGCTCCAGACTTGTCATCTAGTGTCCAGTTTTGTTTCTTCAAACCGAAAGAACTGAAACAGAAGAATGACAGGGAAGTCATCAGAGTTATGTGCTGTTTGCAACAGACTGCGCTCAGACTGCACATGAAGCCAATAACATCAATTCTATTTGAAGAGACGTTCTAGATAGTCTTAATCCCTTGTGTTCTCATTTCCCGGTTTGTTTTCATTTTTAGTTTTTGTTCCGCAAAAACTGGCTCCGCTATGAGCACCTGCGACAGGTTGATGCCTTGACTTTGGCACGACGTCAGCTGAAACTTGCTTTGGACCAGCAAGCAACTGCACAAGCGCAAGTGGACAGAGCGCAAGTGCAGGTAGACATGGCTGTGGAGGACTTGCGGACAGCTAGAGAAACAGGAGATGAGCAGAAGGTGGAGGAGGCGAAGAAGGAGGTGGAGGAGGCGGAGGAGAAGGTGAAGGAGGCGGAGGAGAAGGTGGAAAAGGCGGAGGAGAAGGTGGAAAAGGCAAAGACGGAGGCGAAAAAGGCGGAGGAGAAGCTGGAGGAGAAAGCCCAGCAGGAGAAGGCCATTCGCTGCACAGCTTCAGTGTTGTCACAGTTCTCCCGAAAGATGCAAAAATAGATGAAAGCTACTTCATATGTCTTCACATTCTATGGTTCAATCAGTTCTGTTTCTTCAGTGAATACCCTCAGTATGCCTCCAAAAGATGAATGAATCCCAAATCACAAGGTAAACCTTGAAAGAACCAGAGAGTCAAATAACACTTAACAGACTGAACACGACATCTTAACACGGGAGATGTTCTCTTGCTCCAGGTGCCAGGCTTCCAGTCTCTCACTAAGCTTCTTGGAAGGCCGCTTTTTCCCAACGCCGTGCCTCTGAATGACAGAAATGCCACATATTCTTCAGCTTCTTCATACATTCTCGGCTTGGACTGGGGTCCGTTCAACGGGAAACTGGCCCTGCAAAACAAAAGGTTGCAGGCACAGCTTCTAGATCGCGAACAGGAGGTGCAACTTATCGTGAAGAAGTTGCTGGAAAGGTCAAACAACTTGTTTGGCAAACGTGCGTCAGACAAGGCTTTCTCCCCAGCCATCCTAGTGGCACAGGCACCTGGAGCAGGCAAGAGCCATTTCCTGGCCATGCTCGGAGAGGAGATTCCCATGCTGTACGACCTGGATGGTAGAAGCCAGACACCAATCATCTCAGCTTTCACCTACAACTCTGGAATGACCAAAGATGACATTGAGAATCTGAAGACTGACTTGGCGCTGCGGGTTCTTTATGGTGCAGCAAGGCACATGAGCAGGACAAAGTGCGAGTGGAGTGACTTCGTAGAAGCATGGAAGTCTCACTTCGTAAAAGCATGGAAATCTCGGGAGATTGACTCGATTGACATCAATTTGGCTGTGAAAATCCTGCGCAGATGGTACGGTGACCGTCCCGTTGTGATCCTGGCTGATGAGGTGGGAAAGTCGAAGGACGAAGCTTTGGTGCGCCAGGAGCTTTGCAGGACGATGGACGCTTGGGGAGGCCAAGTCTTTGTCATGATGTCTGCTCTCAGCAATTACCACGCAGCTATGGAGATGTTCAGGGGCAGCAATCGACGGGTCGACATTTGCATTTTAACAGTCCTTAGTACTGAAGCCTACGACCTTTTTTCCGCCAAGCTCCGTGAACTGCAGCAGAAGCAGGAAAAAGGTATCAAGGGGGACATCCTGCAATATCGAATTTCTCTTGCCTGGGGAGCTACCGGCGGCTACGCACGGGCCATTGAGTACATGGCTGAATACATCAGCAACTTTGCCCAAGGTCTTAAAGCTGGAGTTGTCTCAAGGGCCACAGGGCACCTTGGAACAGAGAGGTCCTTGCCCCCAATGTTTTCCAAGGAGGAGTTGGAATCTGTGTTAGAGATGTGGGAAAGACAAGATTGTCCCTTTCTGCGATTGGATGACATTGTGAACCTGATGCCTGAAGCCACATACAACGGGAGTGTACTAATAGACTCAGTTATGAAGGGAATGCAAGTCTACCTGCCAACTGTTGCTCCGTGGCATGCAGCCAGTTTCTTCACTTCAGTGTGGCAAAGTCATAAGAACCTGCCACCGAGATGTGCCAAACTCCTGGATTTGGCCGGCATCGCATACAAAAACAAAGTCGATGCCATTGACAGCAGCAACGTGCAGACCATGAAGCAAACCAGCTCATACTTCACTGAGGTCGTGGCGGCTTTTGCTGCCATGTTTGCGATCGTGAAGAAGTACAAGAAGCTGCCACCAGTTCTGACACAGGGTACGGCACGCAGCATTTGCGACATCGACCTTGATGATTCGTTCTTGCAGGAAGAACTTGCCACGAAAGGCAAGGAGGATGCAGATGAGAAGTTAGCGTCATTTTTGGAAAAAGCCGTGGAACTAAGCCAACAGAAGGACAAGGAGCAACCCTTCTTAGTGATCATGGCTCCGCCCAACTGCAAGGCTGTTGACTTTCTAATCTTCTGCCAAGATCAGAACAGTTTTGTGGCTGTTCAGGTGAAATCTAACACACTGACTGAGGCGAAAGCCCAGAATACACAAAAGGCAGCCTTGCTGCAAGCAGCAAAGGACATCCGCTCTGCCAGCGACTCCTTGCAGCTTGTGGCCTTCCTTGCTATAGTCGGCTCCAACTACACAGAAATGGAGGACTTGAAGGCTGACACGTTTCTCCTGCAGCTTGAGGATCTCGTCGCCCTCATCCCACCCTTTCTGCGACAACTCTCGGGTCTCGCTGCAGGGGTGCAAAGCGTGGAAGGTGAGGATGCGTGAGTGGAAAAAGATTGAAAAAGCATCCAAAGCAGATTTAAAAGCTTCTTGCTCCTAGTAGTAAGGCCAGGAGCCCCTAGTTAGTAGCTTC